GTGAAGTTCATAACGGCTCTATTTCTCATTCTCATTCTTATTATAATGTGGCTCAAACATGCTATTAGCAATTTTTCATTGATTTTGGATGCGAATGTGACAGAAAATGCAGCGCCTTTATGGATTCTATGACGCAGGGAATAATTCGCCTCTGTCAATAGGGGATTGACAATTGCCAGATTGTGTGGTGTTTGATGGAAAGTACACAGAGACATTGACTTGTGTTTGAGTGCTTGTGGTGCCTTTGCCATTTGGAATGCACTGGGAAGAGGCAACGCCACAGGAGATGTTTTAGGTGTTAAAAGTAGACCCCTCAAGAACTGTAGGTGTACAAGTCAAAACATAATAATTTACCTACTTTTAATTGGAAAATATTAACAGATAGGTTTCCAACATATTGCAAATGTAGCAAGTGGATCCCAACTTAATATTTTGACAGACTCAGTTCCCGACATTTCATTTTTGTGACACTACTTGAAAACACTCAAGAAATGAGTGAAGAATAAAAGGGCTTACCCATTACCAAACAGTTGCGTCAACCCCTTCGTGGATTTAGTTTTTTCCTTCTCGCTTTAATCAGAACGGTATCTTTCTTTCTTTTAGTCTAATTATGGAAAAGGGTATAATCTTTTAGAAATTGTAGAACAATTCTTCAATTTCCTAATCATTTAATAATTATTTAGAATGAGCCATAAAAATATAATGTATAGAGAAAAATAGCGTACTATTTTACATGATTGTAAAAGAAGTTTCACTATGTGAAATATTTGTAAAATCACATAATAATTCTCTTATATATACCACCTTAGTAGCACTTCCAACAACTTGCTAAAAGAACCTACTAAGTACATACATACTAGACAAGACAAAGGGCTTGCTTGGAAGTTTTTCACTGATTTTTTTACCAATTTTGGGGGGCACTATTTACGAGGGGTTGGAAAAATCGATGCTTGCTAATTTTTTTAGGCATCGATTTTGAATTGTTTAAAAATCATCCTAAATTGATATAATGAGTTTTTGACTAGTTCTCTCAATTCACCGATCGGCATGTTTTGACCATTTCTCCTATTCTCTTCTAACTTTACCATGTATAAAATAATTATCTCTAATCAACATATTTTCTTTAAAATTAAGTCGTAAATAAAAATATATTAACTAAATAATTATTTATAAGCAAAAGGTAAAATGTTATTTATAAGATAAGAAAAAGTTACATTATAATTAAAAAATTACTTATAAGTAAAAAAATCACTTAAAATTATTTAAAAGTATAAAATTAACTTATAATTGTAAAATTTACTTATAAGTACAAAAACTATTGACTTAAAATTTTATTTAAATATTTAACTTTATTTAATTTTTAAGTTAAATACTAAAAAAAAATCTATAAGTAAAATTTGACTTATGAGTAGAAAATTTTCATTTAAGAATCTATAAACTGAAAAATTTACTAAGGGACATATATGTAATTTTATTCTTCTAAAAAAAAGGTTTAAAATCTGTGGATAATAAACTCTCAAACATAGGTTGGATGATTTTAAAAATTCCTATTAAAACTCTTCAAAATCGATTGGCTCATAAATGCCCAAAATCGATAATTAAAAAAAAATTGCTAATAATCGGTAAGCTAAAAATTCCGAGCAAACCCTAAAGATCTCAACTCTCATCCTTAAGATAGTTTATAACTTATTTGACAATTACACCAATGGGAAGACTTTATGTGTAGAGACACGTTCCGCGGGAATTTAGTTACTATAAAATTTGAGATTTTACAAAATTCCATCCCAAGTAGGAAACTAAAAGTTCTACTCTATGTGAGATAAACAAATATAAATCACATTTTTAGTTAGACGATACCAAGTCAAGTTCTAACCATCGTCAATTTGATTTTGGATTGTCTGATGTTTTCAAATAGGAATTCTTTCGTATCCCCTTTAAATCAAATAATGTTTTGTTTGGAGTTTTTACTAGTTAGTTGATGTTTTTACTATGTGTGAATTGGTGAAGTCTTCAATAGGTGCGTCGATTGGATGCGACTCTTTAAGTGTAAAATGTGCATAAGAAAGGATCGTGACCTTTTTATAAGATGTAATCTAGATCATTAATCATGAAATAGTGCGATTTAAAGGTTAAAATTAATTTATACCAAAAAATGTGACCATTCAAAGTGACACGTGAAAATCTATAAATACGACCTTCTAATTTTAATTACTTCACTCCAAATCAATTTCATGTAATTGATTTCTAATTCTTTCATTCTCTATATGTCAAAATAATTTTCAAATTATTTTTAAATTTCGTGTTCTATATACATTATTTAATATCTTCCGTTTTTTAGATTAAGAGTACAGTGAAGTGTTGATTTTTCCGACAAAATTAATATTGTACTATACTAAATTTGAAAAAAGTGTTGTATTTTGAATTTTTGGGAGAGAGACATCCATCTGATCCTATTAGCATTAGTGCAGGGATGAAATCTGTCTCAAGGAGATCTGTATTCGCATACCCCACTTCATTTCATCTCTTTATAGTTACCCGCATTTTTCCAAATGTCAATAAGTCGTTTTTTTACTTATTTTTTATATACATTTATTTAGATAAGTCAAAACACTAATCGATAATTTGCATGTCAATAGCAAATGAAAATTATGCATGCATTTGATTGAATAGAATATGCATGCACCAAGTTATCCAACATGTTACTCCACCACGTTCTCGCTTCTTCAGCTCTTTCGGTCACAATCACTCGGGAAAATTTTGATTAGCCATTTTTTACCGTCACAATTCTCGAGACATAAAACTATCATACTGTACGATAAAGAGTATAAGCACTTTGAATCAGCAAATTTTAATAATTTCAAATTAGAACACATCGAACAAAAGGGCCAAAATTATGGTAAATAAATTCGACGGCACCTGCAATTCCATCGTCGCAAATCAATTCCTGCATGCAGAAGTTGTGTACCAGTTAATTGTAATTGCAATGCTACGGGTATAGAAAAATTTGACAGAATTTTTACAGAATGACACTTGACAGTTTTTCATTGGTTTTGGACCCAATAATGGCAAAAAAATGCACTATACATGATTTCTGTGAATAATTCCATGTAATTATTCTTTCATTTATTGAATTTGAACAATTACCCAAACTTGCTCCATATATTTGACATAATTTTTATAGAATAACACTGACACTTTTTCATTGGTTTTGGACCCAATAATGGTAGAAAATGCACAATACATGATTTCTATGAATAATTCAATGTAATTATTCTTTCATTTATTGAATTTGAACACCCAAACTTGCTCCATATTTTTTACATAATTTTTACAGAATAACACTAGACAATTTTTCATTAGTTTTGGACCAAATAATGATAGAAAATACACTATACATGACTTGAATGAATAATTCAATGTAATTATTCTTTCATTTATTGAATTTGAACACCCAAACTTGCTCCATATTTTTTACATAATTTTTACAGAATAACACTAGACAATTTTTCATTAGTTTTGGACCAAATAATGATAGAAAATACACTATACATGACTTGAATGAATAATTCCATGTAATTATTCTTTCATTTATTGAATTTGAACACTTACCCAAACTTGCTCCATATTTTTGACATAATTTTTACAAAAAACACTTAACAATTTTTCATTGGTCCAATAATGGCAGAAAATGCACTATACATAATTTCAATGAATAATTCCATGTAATTATTCGTTCGTTAATTGAATTCGAACAATTACCAAAAGTTGCTCTGTATTTTTGACAACTTTTCTTGAGGTGTCTTGATTGTCCACATGTCGGAAATACAAGTCGATATTCTTTTAAAATCCTTGTGCAACTCAAATTGAACGTCAATGACTTGCACTTGCCACAAAAGTTGATTCTTCCATCAAATTTCTCAATGTCATATTCGAAAAACGTTTGCTCTATGCTTTAGCACTCTAAATAATACAACGCTCCGATACCATGATTGAGAATAGAGATCTATTCCTCAATTTGCCCCCAAGTTCTTTGTTTAGATAAGTATTTAAAAGAAAGAGAGATGCAATATACAGAGAAAAACATTAACACCAAATCTTGTGGAAATCTTCAAAATCAGAGAAAACCCACAGGTTCAAATGAAATTTCACAATGTGGATATTTTGTACAATTACACAGTAGTTCTCTCACACAAAACAAACCATCAAGTGCACCCGAAAACCAACATACTTCAGAAAAATTAATTTAACACATACCGGATGACACAACAAAGGAGTCTCAATATAGATCATAACTTATTGCACAAATTTGAATAAATAAAAATACTAAGCAAGGCTCCATCTACAGAGACACGGACCGAGGCGATTTTTTATTCTATTCAAAGTGAAATTCTAAACAATCCCATCACAAGTAGGATATTGAAAATCTTAGACCATGTTCGATAGAGGTTTTTGAGGATAGATTTTGTGAAAAGTGATTCGTTTGGAGTTATAAAAATTATTTTATTGAGAAAATATGTGGTTCAAAATAAATTTCGAAAAAAATGAAAGGAGTTCCTAACCTTTATGCATGCACCTCCGTACAAGCTTTGGCTAGTATGATTGAGAAAATTTTAAAAATGCACTAAACATGAGATTATTCTATTGGGGATAAACAAATTTAAATCCTATTTTAAATTAGATCTTAAGTAATCTCATTATAAAAAAATAAAAATCTTATTCTTATTCTATGTGAGATAGATATATAAAAATCCTATTATAATAGACGATATCAAGTCAATTCTTAGCATAATCATGTTTTTATTGAAAAATGAATTTTTAATCAAAGATCGGTAAATTTGTCCATTAGGGATTCAAGTGCTACAAAAAGATGAAGTCGAGAACTGAAACCATCAAAATAATACGTATGAGAACCTACGTTCTATATAACCAATAGATTGGGGACTTCAACAGTAATTTCTCTTTTTATTTTATCCTCGAGAATTTGCTCGTTATTAAACGACAAAATAGAAAATACCGTGCAGAAATTGAGAGAAAAAAAGAAAAGAAAACGAACATGAGATCTGCTGTCGGCAATCTCCCCCTCGGATCTGCTACATCTTTGACAATTTTTCAACTGATTTTTATTTACTTACTAATTAATACTTGTCTCTAATTTTCATATTATTGATACATGTAAATATCAGCATGTATAGATTCAAATTCCGTTAGTTTTCTTGATTTTTTATTGTGGGCAAAGGGAGTTTTTAGAGCATCAGATGGAAAAGGAGAGAAGAGTTAATGATCGAGGAGATTTTTATCAGGTTCATTCGTCCACAGCGGCCACATCGTCTGCATCATCATCACCGTCGAGATCACTTCCGGTTTCTTCTGAATCGTCCACCGCTGTCGGCGTAGGTGTAAATGGTGGCCCGAATTATATAGTACACCATGTTTCTAAATTTGATACCCTCGCCGGTGTCGCCATCAGATACGGCGTCGAGGTACGTAATTCATATAATGTATTATTTTTTATCAATTCTGTTATTTTGGTTATCACATATTTGTTGTTTTATTGAGTTTGATACGTGTTCTATGTGTCTATGTGATTGCAATGCCAATAATCCGGAAGATGTAGGATTACGTAGGCATGTTCTTTATGTCGCAAAAGTCTGTGTTTTAGGCTATTACGCTTCTCTTTTTCTATCAAATTGAAAGATCCCTAAAATTGTAAAACTTCGGTTTGAAAATGCTTTTGTTAGTCCGTTCCACTTATCACTTCTAAAATGAAAAACAAACTTGCACTAAATGGCCTCCGCTTTCTCACTCTATTGAATATAACGTCACACCACAAAATGCCCGAGTTTTTAGGTCAGTACTCGCATCTTCTTGCAGGCCTTGAACTCTCTTAACTGTTCCCCTTATCAGTATTTCCTCTGGAAGTATAGTGGAGAACAAAGACTTGCTCTAATTTTAAAGGGTTTGGATGCTTCTAGACAGTCACTCCAAAACCTTACTCTCAGAGTAAAGGGAAAGTCAATCCTGCCTTGTGAAAAATTGGCTTTGAAGAAATGATCTCTTCCTAGTTCAGCTATCCTGATGCAGAATGAGTTGGGTACTTAGCCAATTCTGCTGTACAGACTAGTATCGAAGAAATGAACTTGAATGCATTCGCAAGTCACAACTCATACGGTCTTGACCTTCTATATTTGGTAGTTTTTACGGACTCTACCCCGGTTGAATGTCTCATACGAGGCAGAGTTGGACATGTTGGTAGAATTGTTCTACTCGACGCTGGTCAAGTGGGACGCTACTTGACTGTGTTTGAATTTTCCACCCTTGATATCAATCCAATACTACAGCTACGGGATTGCAACAAGCTCTTGTAAATTGAAATGCATATCCAGTCTTTTTTTTTGCTTAAAACAAAACTGCCTCCAATCCACTTTGAGTCATTGAAGAACCGCCTCAATGGACCTGCTATATATATATACACTCATTTGAGTCATTTTTGTTTCACCCATTTTCAATTTACACAACTCTAGGACACGCTGGCACCACATTTCATCAAGTTAGTAGTTGAGACTCTTTCAAAATCGAAAAATAAAATTGGCCAGTCACTTAGAAAAACCTTTAAACTATTCTTTTTACCTTGATTGTTTGATGAATTATTTATGTTCTTCACAAGTAGAGAAAAATCCAATAAACATTCATGGAGTATTAAGCAGTTAATGGTTGCTAGTAAAAGTGAACTATAAAAATTTTGCATAATTCATCCTTTATTGTGGGGGTGCTGTCAAAACTACTGCAATTGATTTAGTGAATCATTACTATTACTTATCAAACAATCTTTTGTTTGTGAATGGAAATTGATTTGTATATTCAAATTGTGACTATATTTTGTATGTTAATTTGGATTTTTGTGATCGTGATAATTGATAATTTGAACTTGCTGAATGTTTGATATTTACTTTTTTAATTTAAGTATTTATTACTAACTTTTGAATAGAGTGCAAGTTTGAAAATTAAAAAAATAAAACTAGAACCTCCATATCTTTAAAAAAAAAAAAAAAAACCATTTGGTTCATGGTTCGGTTCGGTTCAATTCAATTCGATTCGATTATCTTCGAACTAGAACCAAATGGAACCATGTTCGCCCCTACATTTAGGGAGTATTAATATGCTGACTAGCCATACAAGGTCTTCTCTTTCATAAACTAAAAGGAGGCCTTTTTTCACTTTTCACATTCTTATTTAAATTCCTCGTGCCCTTTATTCGGCTTTTTGGGTATGAATTTGATCGAACAATTTTGAAAATTAGCAAGGTACAATCAACAAAGAAGTAGACATGCCATTGATTTCTAGAAGCTCAAAGATTGTCCCTTTCTCCTCCAGTAACTACTCATTACTGTTTTCTGTTAAAAAAGTAAATTCAGAAACTTGGAGCATGTGCTCATAAGTGCAATAAAAAGATATGTTTTGGATAGCTTGTCTTTGCTTATAGCTTTTGGCTTATGTCATATTACAGAAATATCCTCAGATTGTTTTACTTGAGGTTAGAGCAAAAACATAGTTTTTAAGGAATTTTCATTTCAAAAGGGAAAAAGAAGTAGAAAGAAAACCACATTGGCCGAAAAACCACATTGTAGATCGATTTTTCAACTGTAGCAGAAACTCACCCCTTGTTGATGATGAGCGTTCTTCTGATAATGAAGGAGAAAATTTTGGATTTCAACGGTATTGATTTTTCTTTGGTTGGTGGTAAATGCTAATAAATCGTAGGATAAATTGGTAATTCACTTGGTCAATTCTTTTTATAAGTTAGATAAGTTACATTGGCCAAGGTTATGAGCTTATTTTGATTTGGGCTAAAATATAACAGC